ACTGATTACACTGTGAATGATAATCTACCTTAACCAAAATCAAAGTAGACTATCACTCACCCACACCAGATGGAAAACTCTACAGACTGTCGGTTCACACCCCATCACAAGCCGGCAAAACATCCACGAAACAAAGAAAGGTCTGTCATATATATATATATCGTCAAATAGAACCGCCCGGTAAACCGTAGGCAGAGAGGGAGAAGAGGACAACAAACGAGGGGCTGTGACAAACTGTTTCATCGGAGTTTCATATATATAGGGGTGTAGGGCTTGGAAAACCCTACAATCCTATGTTTTTTATTTTGGAATCTGACCTCGTTTAAGATTTTCAAAAAATGAAAAACGAAATTCGATTTAAACAAAAAAATTTTTTTTTAAAAATAAAAAGAAAAGCAGGAAATGTTTTTTGGCATTTTTTATCATGAGGAATATGGTCCCTGAGTTGTGCTGTATTTTTTTCAGAAATGATTTTCGGTTTTTTGTAGGGAAATTAGGTGTTTAAAAAAAAATGAAGATGTAAAAATTTAAAACAAATCAACAAAAAAAGGGGCCAGGCTGGGGTTGGTGTGGTCTGGGTGGTGGGGGACCACCACAACCAGGGAGAATGAGCAACAGAATTTGTGTTGCCATAGAAGATAAATGTCTGATTACTCCTATACGGCAACACAAAATCTGTTGCTCATGTTCATGCCAACAACAAGCAAACAGCGAGAGAGAGAGAGAGAGAGAGAGAGAGAGAGAGAGAGAGAGAGAGAGAGAGAGAGAGAGAAAGAGAGAGCAGGCCGCTACGTGTGCACGGCCAAGGCCGCTGGGCCGCTAGGCCGCAATCCAAGGACGGGGACGAGGACAGCGGCCGCATCCGCGGATCGGAAGAAGACCCCCTGCAGGGTTTTTTTTTTTTTCTCCTTGTCCTTCTTCTTCTTCTTCTTCTTCTTTGCTGCTTTTCTTCTTTTTCTTCTTCTTCGCTGCATTTTTTCATCTTCTTCTTTGCCGCTTTTCTTTTCCTTCTTCTTCTTCTTCTTCTTCTTACCAACCCCATTTCCCGACTTCGTTGATGCCAACGAGACAAAGAGAGAGAGAGAGAGAGTGTCTGTGTGTGTGTGTGTGTGTGTGTGTGAGAGAGAGAGAGAGAGAGAGAGAGAGAGAGAGAGAGAGAGAGAGAATCAATCAATCAATCAATCAATCAATCAATCAACCAATCAATCAATCAAGATCTTGATTGATTGATTGATCGATTGATTGATTGATTGACTGTTTTTTTCCAAACAGTCGATCAAACAATCAATCGATCAATTGATTGATTGATTGACTGTTTTTTTCCAAACAGTCAATCAAACAATCAATCGATCAATCAATCGATCAATCAATCGATCAATCAATCAATCAAGATCTTGATTGATTGATTGGTTGATTGATCGACTGTTTGATTGATTGATTGA